ACAGTTGAACTAATAGAAATAACACAAACATATATTTATAAAGTCTTTTCACACCTTTGCAATCATTATAACAACTTGGGTGGGCATAGCTGAAAGCACATAGGAACATCCTTATTTTACAGATAAGAAATTTGTGTTTCTCAAAAGATATATGATTGACATTGTTCCAGACTCCAGGTGGGTGAAAGTCTGTGATTTTATTCATGGTCACAGTAAGTCTTTACTTACTCAGCCAAAGAATGGCACATCCAAGTTGGAAGGCATCATCCTTCAGGTTAAGTAGGGGCTACTTATGAAGAAGGTATCCTTTCAGACAAGCACAGGAAGCCCCTCCACCAGGATTTTCCTAAACCACTCTCAAAGCTGGCTACCTCAGTTGTTCAGCCTACCACTTTGAGAACAATGCCCATTACGTATTTTCATTGTATTTATCCTGTCTCTCTAGATATTCTTATTTTATTTTTTCATTTCAAAATGTGTAAAGAAATAGAGAGTGAGAGAATAGAGTAATGGATTAGGAAAGGTTGTCCTTTAAAAAGGATGGTCAGTGAAAGCCTTTCTAATAAGCTGATTTTTGAATACTTATGAACATATATCCAAGAATCCCAAAGAAAATCTTAACAAATTGAACTCAACACTAGCTTAAAAAAAAAAAAAAACTATATCATAGTATAAGGCTTATCTCAGGAATGCTTAACATTTAGAAAAATTTTAAAATAATTTATGAAATTAAGATAACTAAGGACAAATATATTTATCTCAACAAATGCAGGAGAAACATTTGATGAAATGTAATCGTCATTCATTATTAAAACTGTTAGCAAGCTAGAAATAGAAAATAAGCTTCCTTAATATAATAAATATTAACTAATAACAATATAGAAAATATTAATGTCAAAATATCAAAAGTATTCCCTTCAAAATCAAAACAAGACATGGATCACCTCTTTTAGTCAGCATTGTACTGGAAGTACTTAACAATGAAGTAAGACAAGGCAAACAAATGGCTAGAATAAATTTGGTATTATTTGTAGATTAGTTAAGTCTACATATAAAAGTTGAGGTCACTAACAAATTTTATAGATATTACATGGGCTTTCCAGATGGTGCTAGTGGTAAAGAGCCCGCCTGCCAATGCAGAAGGCATAGAGAATAGCTACCATACCAGATATTAAGAGTTATAAACTGTAGAAATAAAAATAGTATGATGTTAGTACAAGGATAGCTAAATAGACCAATGAAACAGAACTGAAAACAGGGAAGTGTACATAAATTTATGTGGAGTTTGTTAAATAAGAGGAATTCTCATTACAAATGGTAGGAGTGGGGTGGGCTAGTCAGTAAATGGTACTTAAACTCACAACTCATATACGTGCGTGCTCAGTTGCTTCCGTCATGTCTGACTCTTTGTGACCCTATTGACTGTAGCCCACCAGGCTCCTCTGTCCATGGGATATTCCAGGCAAGAATACTGGAGTGGGTTGCAATGCCTTCCTCCAGGGGATCTTACCAACCCAGGGATAGAAGCCATGACTCCTCCCTTGCAGGCAAATTCTTACCAGTGAACTGCTGGGGAAGCCCGACAACTCATATAGATAAAAATAAAATTATTTATCTCTCTTCATATTATATATAAAATATATTTCATATTAAAGACCTCAGTATGAAAACTAAATAGTGAAATGTTGAAAAGAATGTTGGGAAAGATGTGATTATGACATCAGAGTAGGAAAGATTTATTAAGCAAAACTCAAGAAGCAAAAGTATAAAAGACAATAATGGTTAGTATTTCTAAATGTTTTATGTTTCTGAACCAATAAGGACACCATCAGCAAACTAAAAATCAAGCCACAAGTTGGAAGCAGACTGTGGTACAGTAGTAGTAAGACCCATTGTCGTTCTAGGATGGTCTCAGGAATGTCACAAAAGACAAAATCTAGGTACCAGTAAAATGTGGAAGATGCTCAACCTCATTAATAAATACAGGACTGCAAATTATAGTAGCAATGAAATGCATTAAATCTCCACTGGACAGGCAACAATGAGTGAGAAAGACAATATTCAAACAACTTTTTGAGGGGATGGGAAGAAAGTGGGGGCTCTCATATCCTTCTCTTGGAGGAGAAAGCTGATGGTGTTAATGTCCTGTGAACCTGAAACATTAAGCTGGCCTACAAGTTTGTTTGGGTTTTTCTGTAAGATGGCACAGAAAAATCCGAACAAACTTTCTGACCAATATCATGCCTAAGTATAAACCCTAGAGGAGCTCTTGCATGTGGGCACAAGGAAACTTCTATGCTTATGTTTAAGAGTAAGAAGAATGGAGACAACACAAATGTTAACCAATATAGGAATGAAAAAATTAATTAGAGCATACTCATAAAAAGAACAAATTAGACTTATATGTATGGATAAGGCTGAATCTCAGAATTACGAATGTAAGAGGAAAAGAGCAAAATTCAATGTTTCAACTGTTCTATGCCGCCATTTATGTAACTCTTAAAAAGTATGCAAAACCATATGATAAATCATATATGATCTATCGTAAAAGTATAAAATATATGGATGAAAAGATACACATCAACTTCAGAATATTAGTCACCTCAGGTGACAGAGTGATGGGAACAGAGTGGGAGAAATCTACTTTAACTGTAGTATTTCATTTAAAAAAATCAGAAGGGGGCAATTCAGGTTGCTTGTGAACAAGAAAAATAAAGCCAGAGATACTGCCTCCCCTCACATCTCATTAGTTTTAAGTCTGGGTTATACATGTGAGCTATTTTTATATCCTTACTCTAGACCACATTAACGCGTCCCTAATTTCTACCTCTACCCATAGCAAGGAATTCAAGTTCAGCAAGAAAACATCTTTTTGTACTCTCCCCAGAAACTCCATTGAATTAACAACTGAGAGGTGTCTTAAAGTGGTTCAAAAAAACACAAATTCATTATCTTATCATTCTAGAGGTCAGCAGTCTAAAATGACCAGGCAGGGCCTATTTCTTGCTTTTTCCAATTTCTGGAGATCTCCAGCATTACTTAAGTTCAGGGTCTCACTTCATTCAGACCCTCCTGCCTCCCTTTTGAATCGTGATTTCAATGGACTCACTTGGATAATCCATGGTCTTCTCCCTATCTCAAGATCTTTAACTGAAGCACATCTGCAAAATTCCTTTTGCCAGGTAAGGTAATATTTTCACAAGTATTAGGAATTAGGATGTGGACATGTTTGGGAGGGCCACTATTCTACCTACCACCATTGGCATTAGTTCTCATTGTGTTTTTCTCCTGTCTCTCTAGATGTTTTTCTGTCTTCTGCTTTTTGGCTTTGTGGGATCTTAGTTTCCTGACCAAGAATAGAACCCTGCATTCACTGCATTGGAAGCAGAGCCTTAACCACTAGACCACCCAGGAAGTCCCTAGATGTTCTTTTCTTTTTTCAAAATGTGTTTATTTCTCCCTCTATCACTTGCTCTCTCTTAATCAAATTGTCTGATATTTGTCTGTTGAATTAGCTATACCCTGACAGCAGTGACCAGAGAGTGGGATTTTATAGTATAAAGGCTGGAAAGGCCTGGTCAGCCAGGCTGGAAGTTCTAAGTTAACTTCCCCCTACCTGTCATCTCCCTCTGCTTCATCAAACATAAGTACTTTCATTGTGCTCTGACTGGTTCCATTGTCACCCCTGGTAGGATGCCTCCTAAGGTATTAAAATGGTGTTAGTCGCTCAGACGCATCCAACTCTTTGAAATCAGGCAAGAATACCGGAGTGAGTTGCCATTTCCTTCTCCAGGGGATTTCCCCAACCCAGGGACCAAACCTGTATTTCTTCTGTCTTCTGCACTGGCAGGCGGGTTCTTCACCACTAAGGCCACCTGGGAAGCCCAAGGTATTATAAAGGTAGAATAGTTAAAGGCCATGGGGCATCCCGAGCATCCCCGTTCTGCGTCCCACTCCCCAAAATGCTCATTCTCTGTGATGGAAGCCTCTGAGCATCCTTTCTTTCCCGTCCTCAGTTCTCGGGAATACCTAAAGAGGTGAGCGCCTCACCTTACCACTCCCTCGGGGACCCGGGCCTGAACAAGCGCAGGGGCCAAAGCCGATTGGAAGCGAACGCACGGGTCTCTCCCCTCTCTCTCCCGCAACCTGGCTCTGGGACCGGTCTGGCTGGTTCCGACATCTGGGGAATTAACATGTCCCGCCCATCCCTAGCCTCGAGCCGCGCAGGCTCCGAGTCTCCGCCCTTGTTCCCTCGCCGCTTCAAGCGCCTACGTGTGAAAGCCGCTACAAAGGGCTTGAATGAAACGTGTGTGGGTTTAGTGAGTCGTAAGCCACCAGGGGATCCCGTCTCCCCACAAACCAGAATCTCTCGCAGGAGGCTGAGGAGGGGGAGGAGGCGAGGAGCGGAGCGCTGGATTTCGCGGGCGCGCGCCGCGGCTGGAGCGGCGGGGAGAGGCCGGGCCACCTCCCCCCTTCCCAGCCATGCACCGCCTCGCCCGCGGCGGTTCCAGGCACCACAGTCTCCGCCCGGGCTGCGCCCGCTGTCGCCGCAACGAGCTCCTGCGGCCGCCGGCTCCGTCCACCGAGGAGCAGCGCCAGCCCTCCCCACCCCACCTCCACCACCGATTCCCTTCTCCGCGGGGACGCGCCGCCCAGCAGCCCGCGCCGCCCCCTGGTCAACTTTGAGCGAGAGGAGAAACAACTTTGGCAGTGGCCGCGGGTTTCCAAACCCTCGCCTCCAGGTCCGCAGCAGCCTCGTGGGTTGCCGGGGTTAGATGGGGCAGTTTCCCGGGCGCATCTGAGCGGCGTCTGGCAGCTAGCAACCTGTTTCCAGCGAGCGGGATGGGACTGTGGCTTCTAGGCATCCGAAGGAGGGCTACTTGTTTTTCTTTCCCTTGAGCGACCTCGGCTTGCTGCTGGATAGAGCCGCCTCGAAAGGATGTAAATAGGCGGAGCAACTGCTACCGAGAAGGCAACCACCCCAAAGGCAGGGAGGAGCGCGGTGCTTCGTCCGGGCTTCTCCCAGTCGCAACATTAATCATCAAGCAGGTGTTGGTTGCAAGTTTTCAAGGTCAGCCACTCGGAGCAGCGAGTCCCTCCCTGAACCTTGGGGATACATAGCGCCCGGGTTGGATTTGACTGAGAAATGCTCAGGACGCCAAACAAGGAAGGATCGTAGAGGGGGAGTGTTGTGACCCCAAGACCCATCCCCCAACACCCCCGTAATCTCCCGTCCCCCGCTGCCGGGGCGGGGGTTAGTATGTGACATGTGCCTAACTCTCAGCGGCAACTTAGGCAGCAGGTGTCGGTCCTAAGCGGGAGCCGCTGCTGCTGGGTGCGCCCTCGCCCAGCCATGCGGGCCGCGGGCGCACCTCTCGCCCGCACCTCGCGGCTGCTGCTTCTGCTGTTGCTCAAGGTCTCCGCTTCTCCTGCCCTCGGGTCCGCCCTTGCGCCCAGGAAGGAAAACTGTCTGGGAGAAAGCTGTTCACCTACACTGATCCAGCGTCGCAGCAGGGACGCTTGGGGACCAGGAGATTCTGCAGGAGACCTTCTGCCAACTCGTGCGCCCAGGGAGGAGGAGCAGGAGGCAGTGGAGCGCTCGGCGCCCCCGTGGGACCTACCGGCCGGTCCCGGCGGTGACCCAGGTGTGGGCAGAGGGGCGGAGGCGTCGGCAGCTGAGCCCTCGGGACCTCCGGCTAGGCCACCTGGAGCCTGGAGGTGGAAAGGTGCCCGGGGTCAGGAGCCCCCTGAAACTTTGGGGAGAGGGAACCCCACGGCTCTCCAGTTCTTCCTTCACACCTCGGAGGAGAAGGAGAAGGGTCCCAGAGGCGCTGGCCTTTCTGGGCGTAGCCAGGAGCAGAGGGCGAGGAAGGAACCCGGAGCCAGCGACCTTTATTACTGGCCGAGGAGAGCCGGGAAACTCCAAGATTCTCCCCACGACCCCCAACCCAAGACGGTCCATGGACCGTCGGGGCACGAAGGGCGGACGATTGCACCCCCTGGCAGGGCGCTGGCTCAGAATGGGTCCTCCCTTGAAGGGGTTCATGAACGCGGGGGTCCCCGGCGGGGGAACAGCACGCACCCACGCTTGCGACTGAAGAACCCCTTCTACCCGCTGACCCAGGAGTCGTACGGAGCCTATGCGGTCATGTGTTTGTCCGTGGTGATCTTCGGCACCGGCATCATTGGCAACCTGGCAGTGATGTGCATCGTGTGTCACAACTACTACATGCGGAGCATCTCCAACTCCCTCTTGGCCAACCTGGCCTTCTGGGACTTTCTCATCATCTTCTTCTGCCTTCCGCTGGTCATCTTTCATGAACTGACCAAGAAGTGGCTGCTGGAAGACTTCTCCTGCAAGATCGTGCCCTATATAGAGGTAATGCCGTCCAGGGGTCTCGAGCTACTGGCTTTATTCATTTCCGGGATTTATAGCATCAGGACTGCTGCTCCACACACCTACCTGGCCGCTGAACCCCGTCTCTTTTCCTGAGTCTCTCCCCCATTTCTCCTGCCAATCATGTATATACATTGGCATTTATACACTGGGTGTGGGGGGCGGACCTGAGCCGGCTTTGTCCAGTCACCTTCAAACTCAGCTGCTCCTGAATTGGGAAATAACTATGATCACATTACACATAGGGTTGTTTAGGTTTTAAATGTATTTCTCTGAATATGGTGTTTTATGGTGTGTGTGTGTGTGAATATATATATTGGCGATTGTCAGATTGTAGGGTTAATAAGTAATCAGTCCTTGACTGTCATTATTAGAGCCTAGCAGGGATAAAGCCCTATATCATTTATCTACTAGGTTTCTAGTGCTCCAATATGATTTATTCCCTAAGAATATTATTAAATTCTTTCCTTAAATATAAAAAATTGAGTAATATTTATTTAACAGAGGAAATCTACTTTTCTTTCTCACTTGGTCTTGACACATTAGTAACCTCCCAAATTAGTTTTAGGGTCTGGCTGTCTGCCATGCTATCCCATCTGAATTCTTATATTCTTATGTCATTTCTGTCCCTCTGTTTTCATTCTCCAATTTTGTAACCATTTTATTTACTTTGTATGAATGACCTTAAGGAAGAATAACACTTTGTACCTCATGGCACAGAATTTACTGAACATTCTCAAAATGTATAGTATATATCTGTTATTTGTTAGGGTGTAATGGAGTGACTACTTTTCTAAGACTAGAAAATTTCTTAAGAAGTAGGAGACACTTAATAGGTTCTGAACTTTGGAAATGAGAATCTTTGAGTAAAATTTTACTGTAACATCCTACAGCTAGTGTCCTTAACCGTTATTATGGTAGTTGGAATTTGCTCTTAAAGAGCAAATGGCTTCTCTTTAAACACCAGCTCTTGGATGGAGCCCAAGTGCTTTGTTGCCAGTTGTGTTTTTAGCCAGCTGGCCCTTGATTTCCTCCATTCAGACTGCCCATTTCATTTATGGAAGCAGAAGAAGGGAAACTGTAAATATTCCAGAGCCCCTGATCCTGTCTGGCACCAGGGCCAGTGACACTATGTTCAACATTGTTCCAGGGCCTAGAGCTAGGGGATAAGTAAACAGAAAACAGTACCTACTTAGAAGGACCAAGGCAAGAAGCTGTAAATAAGACCCTCTGCTATCCTGGCAGGAATCAGCTGCAGGATCATTGCATGCTGGCTAAATCAGCTGTTGCTGCTTTACCAAGATCTAGGATTTCTCTTGTTGCCAAGCTCCAAGTAGCTCCGAAACATCTAATTTATTTGGAAGACAGCTCATTTTTGAATTGCAGAGAAGGAAGTTAAATTTATGGAAGAGAATATGTGTCTACCAGTCATCATACAATGTAAGGTTTCTCTGATTGTTTAAATAGTGCAGAAGAAATTGACATATGCAAAAAAGAGACAAAAGTAAACTAGTAAGTAAATAGGAGAGTTACTTCCAAGAAAAGGAAAGCAAATTGGCTTGTTTTAATTGTACTGAACAGGATAAAATTTTCATACAGTAGAGAGAAAACAATAAAGAGGACAGAAAAAAGAAACTGGGAAAGAAAAAAAAATAAAACACCAAAGTTCTTAGAAAAAAAACACTTTAAAATAATTTCATTCAAAATCAGAAAAGAATAATCAAATTTTGGTGAGTTTTATGAAACCTATGAGTTTCGAGTGATGGTATTATGTATATGTTTTAATTTTCTTTCTAATTCTGAGGATTTTAGAAAAAAATATATATTTTCATTTGTATTTAGTTTTTAAATTTAATTCTCATCTTCTTAAGAATAGCAATTATTGTTATTTTTTACTCTGTATTTTCTCCTCCTTCATAGCTCTATTTTTTTAGTTATTGGTACAGAGCTTTTTTTCCCTCTAGAGAATCAAAGGCTTGAAAAAAAGATTCACTCATTTTTATTTCTTGAAAAATTAAACTATAATATACATTTTTACTTTTAGAGTAACGAATAAAGACCTTAAGATTTAGTGTTTCTATATCATAATTAATCTTGTTCTTCTGAAATAATTCTATAATATTTCATAATTTTATGAGAAAATGATCACTACTGTGATCAGACAGTAGTATTAGCTCCACAGTTTCTGATTATGAGTGCAAGAAATATAACTCAAATTTCAGAATAAAGCATTTCTACTTCCAAGAGGCATTGCTATTTTCACAGAAGAGGGATCTAATGCCTATTCCATGTTGGGTTTCTGGGGAAAAAACAGGGAAGTTGAACTGTGATGCAAATGTCACAAAGACTTCAGCAGACAACACAGGAGCTCTAGGGCTGGGATGGTTCTACAGGGATGTCTTGAATGGAGGCAAGAGGACTCAGCCCTTACATAACCCCGTGATGGACCTGTCACTAGATGCAAGTTGCTCCCAGGAAGGGGCCATAACCTTGAGCTTGGTGGATCTCTTTGGTCAAGGGCAATCCTATAGAGGAATGCAGCTAAGAGCCATCAACTACCAATAGTCCCAGGAGGTAGGGAAGTCAGCATTTCATTCCTTAAAGACTTTTGGGTGGGGAAGCAATCTGTGTGGGGAGCAACAGCATCCACTACAGTGACGATTGAATTATTATGTTGAATTAGAACCAGGTAACATTCTAACTGAATCCCCTCATTTTAAAGATGAAGCATGACACTCAGAGAAGAGAAATGACCCCCCTAAGTATGTACACTAGTCAATGGCAACCAGACCCTTTGTCTCAACACTTGATGTTGATATTTGGTTATTAGCAAACATCTATGAGGCAAAACAGTGTCCAGTGACTCTTTTCTTTTTCTGCTCCTTGTTATCTTTCAAAGAGACTTTTGAATCCAACAGGCAGGAAAAAAACAATAAACCTAGTTGACATCATTTGTTTTACGATAAAATTTATAGCTTTTTATATTTTTAAATTTCATCTTCCTTCCCATAAACTGACAGTAAATTCCCTAGTTGGTAGCTCATTAAATTTTAAAAAGTTGCAGTAATTTGGAACAACTGCACTTTATTTTTTTTACAATTGCACTTTTTAAAGTGCCAAAGATGATTATCTTAATAATCAAATACAGATATGTAGGTTGTACTTTATGTTCTTAACAACTACAAAGTGTCTTAGATTGGGGAGCACATTACAGATGTTTTTAAAAACCTTCTCCACAATTTGTCCTCATTCTGAATCTTTTTCTTCTTGGCTGCAAGACTCTGAAAATTATTTGACATTTCATCTCCTTTTATTATCTAGATTTGATCCTTTCTTTACTTTTTACTTTTTTATATTTATCTTATTCGTTGGCTATTCTTCCCTTTTTTTCCCCATCACACACTCTCTATTGATTTATAATGTCTGAGCTACCATTTTTCTAGTAGTTGTTTTTGCCTTTTTCAATGTGTTTATTTTAAAATTTTAACCACAATTCACTTTGATTGATCTGTACAGATTTTCTCTATCTTCTCTTTTGCCTTCGTTTCCTTCTCTACTATAGATCTTTCTTCTTCAGCTTGAGTATTAGCATCATCTTAAGGAGGTATAAGAATTTAGGGGAGAGTTCTGTTTGTATAGAAAAATAGGTGTTTCTTCAACAGAAAGGATAGGTCTTTGCAATTTGCATTCAACTCTTCTTTTTTATTTCAAAGTGTTGACATAAAGTTTAAGGAGAACACTGAGCTTCCAGAGTCTATCTCTAGAAAGGGAGTTCTATTATATTTAATGTTACTGTGAGTGGGATCATAGTGGGAACATTTGTAGTTGATAATTTCTCTCTTTCTGTTCCAGGATTATGAAGTCTCTGTGGTCTAGTGATAAGTCCCATTAAGACCAAGGGTAGATGCAATGGTAGGAAAGGGGGACAGGAGAGAAAAAAGTCTGGGTGGATGGTGGCCACCCTAACACATGCATCATTTTAAACTGGTTTATCAGAGAGTCACCAGAAAAAAACAAAACAAAAAACTATACTCCAAGCAATAGTTTGTGGAGAGAGAGTGTATGTGCAGCTTGCATATGGAGGTCTGGGTGTGGATTGCAATAGGAGGATGGCAGAAGAGCTCCCTACTGTACCATTCTCTAGGGATCTAACAAATGCTTCAGTTCAGTTCAGTCACTCACTCGTGTCCAGTTCTTTGCGACCCCATGGACTGCAGCACACCAGGCTTCCCTGTCCATCACCAACTCAATGGAGTTTGAGCAATGAAGCTTGCTCAAACTCATGTTCATCGAGCTGGTGATGCCATCCAACCATCTCATCCTCTGTCATCCCCAGTATTCTTGCCTTGAGAGAACATCATGAACAGTATGAAAAGGCAAAAAAGATATAACAAATGCTTAAAGCCAAATAACTCAGGCATTGAATGGGGCAACTGGAACAGCTCTTTGCTCATTACTTGATGAAAGCCGACCAGAGTGAAGTGTTACATCTGATCCAGATCCACTGCAAAATGTATATTTCTCTTGAGATGTCAGTTGGAGGTCTTGAATATGTTCTTGTTTTTTAGTTGCTAAGTTGTGTCTGACTCTTTTGCCAGGCTTCTCTGTCCTTGGGATTACTAGAGTGGGTTGCCCTCTCCTTCTCCAGGGGATCGTCCCAACCTGGGGATGGAACCCTCCTCTCCTGCGTTGGCAGATAGATTCTTTACCACTGAGCCACCACGGAAGCCATGAGAGAATCCTTGTTGTTGTTCAGTTCCTAAGTCGTGTCTGACTCTTTGTGACCGCATGGACTGTAGCCTGCCAGGCTCTTCTGTCCTTGAAATTCTCCGGGCAAGAATACAGTGAGTTTGCTATACCCTTGTCCAGAGGATCTTCCTGACCCAGGGATCCAACTCCCATCTCTTATGTCTGCTGCATTGGCAGGCCTGTTCTTTACCACTAGTGCCACCTGGGAAGCCCTTATATTGCCATACAGGTAT